AAATAGGGATCTCAATGCAAATTATAACTCGTTTCCCAAAAATTTTGCGACTTTGGATTAATACATTCTTATATCATTTTCTATTCATAGCAACTTTGAAACATAACAATGACGGGTGAAATTGGATGATCAATGAAAATTTTCAGTCTAGTAAAAAGCTTTTTTTTGAGTTTTTTTATATGAATTCAGGGAAAATAATAAATTTGGGAACTCAGGATCTTCAGAGTGGTCTCTATAGTGGCCCTTGGGGGGTCCTCTCTAGGGACCAATTTACGAATCCCTATAGAGGCCACTAAAGATTGCAAAAATGAGCCCTATGGGGGTTTTAGGGGACATACTAGTCGATAATTTTTATAAACTCTATGCGAAGAAGCATTTCCATGCAAAAAATAAATAAATAAGCGTTTTTTGGATAAAATTGAAAGATCCCTATAGGGATCACTCAAGCTTTAAGGGCTCAGGGGTCAAACCCGAAACCCTATAGTGACTGTTGTTCCCGCGAACCCCTATAGGGATCACTCTGAAAATCCTAAAAGCTAAGGTAGAGCAACTTTGCCGCAATTTTGGTGGGGACCGAATTTTTTTCAGACTTTGCAGTGGTTTTTCTCCAAGAATAAGAACCTAAAAAAAATAAAAAGCTCAAAAAACGACATCATTATCTCAAAAATCACTTACTACTCACCAGATACTTTTTTTTAAGTTTGCCGTCCCTTTCATGTTCCTAGCGACGCCATTTTTCGCCACGGTAATCCTGTCCTCTTTCGGATTCTCAACACAACGTGAGAATTTCGAAGAATTTTCCCGAAATCGAAATATTTTTCCGCCCTCGGCACGTTGGGAACCTTTTGTTTCGGCCTTCATGGTCCTTTGGCGACGATTATTCTATTAGTTATGACGAAAAGCTATCGAACTTTCATCATCGGACATTTGGGAGTTAATATCAAGCGTTTTCGAACCCCAAAATCAAGTTTTATTTCCAATGATTTCGATTTTACACACTCGGGAAGTTTCAGGCGGACTAGCAGTGGTTAACAATATCATTTAGTACTATTTTATCAACTTCAAGTATAGAATATGGAATTTTCTTATTGAATGCGCTTTTTAAGGCGTTATTTCATGATTGAATAGCTTCAAAAGCTGTAAAATTTGAATTTTTATGTCTGAAATGTTTTTGTTGTTTTCCTTTGTTGTTTTTTTCATATTTCGGAATGAATCGTTTCGTAAAATTTTTTCTGTATCTTTTCTGTCTGTTGTGGAATGCGGATTCCCCGTAAACCTACACCCAACTCATGTGCGCGCTAGCGTACATTGTTCTGCGTAGAACCCATTATTGGCCTAAAATGTTTTTGCCCCAATATTTTGTTGGTAATCAATAGTTGTTCTAGATTTTTTGTCGTATGGATGAGAATCCTGTGGCTAATACGGCTCGAATCAACGAAGTTTGCGAGAAAGCCATGCTCAAAGATTTCACGCCGGAAGAATGGAAAACATTCTTTTGGCTCAAGGGATTGGACGCACCTGGAGACACACAAGTCCGTGCACATTTTATCAACTTAACCGGTCCATTCCTTGACCGTGTTGAAATCGGGCAGATTGGACTCGCACTGGTCTTGCTCAACTCGGGGCTTGCAGCTTGACTTAAAATCTTGGTGGAAAAACCAGCGACGGTTCGCAAAGTGGAAAACAAAAAAAAAACAGATTGCAATTCCATTGGCAAAAAAGAAAGTTGGAGTGATCGAAAAGTCCGTGCAATATTTATGCCCACCCCTGTATTGAAAAGTTGAACGAATATTGCGAAATTTCCAAAAATATATACCCTTAGAATGGAAATTTTCTAATAATTCTATCGACTTCCAATCCGAATAAACGAGGCTCTTTTGATGTTTGAATCAAGAAAAGTGTGAAAATAATGAAATTTAAACGAGAAACAAGCATTTTTTTGTGATATTTTTTTCATTTTTTTCAAAAAAACCATTTTCCCTCGAGAATGGCTCAAAGCGTCGCGGTCGCGTTGCGGTTCAGCTTGTTTATTCCAAAAACCTTTCCCAAGAATGAGTGGGTTAATCAAAAAGGAAACGATCCGTGAAATCAGTTTCTCATTTGATTACTTTTTTTAGACTTCCTAATCCTTAATCAAAGAACCTTGTCTGAAAATTTAAAGAGAAACTCAGAAATAAACGGAATAGGTGAACCTTTTTTTTCTGGTTTTTTCTTCAGATGAGAGGAAATTTTGTGGTTTAGGGTTCAAATTTAAATTTAGGAAAATTTTAGAATTTTTTTTTCTCTAACACGAGGAACGAGTAATTTTCGGATTTCTCTTGAAATAATTCTCGTTTCCCTGATGAGATATTCACATTTTGGCATTTGGGAAATCAGCTGCTTCGGTTCTTTGATACTTATGCGCATGAAAATTCCGACTCTTTTCGATTCGTTTCGAAATGAAATTCACGCCTTGTCCCACGAGCCCGATTTTCAACGTTGAGAACCTTCGTCTCGTGTCACATATTGTATTCGTTGCGACCGTGCCCCTGAATATTTTGGCGTTATATTGTATCGCTTTCAAATCACCTTCTGCCATGCTCAAAACCTACAAATGGCTTCTTTTGAACTGCCAATTATGGTTGGTTCGAATTTTTTCCTGAGAATGGCTCCACGCGTAGCGGTTGCGACGCGGTTTTCAGTGAATTTTCAAGAATATTCGCCCTTTTTTTTCATTTTCCGTCGAAAAAAAGTTGTTGAACAAGTTCGAAAACCATTGGAAACACTGAGCTTTTGGACGCCGGGCAAAAATGTATCTTTGAAAAAAATTTCCAACGAAAATTAAAACTGATTCTTTGGAACTATGTTTTGTAAAAGTCCAAACATTGAAAAATGCTCTAACTATGGAGAAAACAGTGTTTGAAATAAGCAATTTGGGGCCAATCTTACATTCAAACTTCGCGTTGAAAAAAAATTTTAGTTCAAGAAAAATTCTAATTTTTGTAAAACTCATGAAGAAACAGTTCGAAAGCTTACAAATTTCTTATTATCGCAGAAAAAAAAACGTTCCAAACTTCAAAATACTTGATAAAAGTGCAATGGAAGCAGGAAGTTTGCAAAAAAATTCAAAGAATGATTATTTTATTTATCCTTAAAATTAAAGTCTTTTTTTCGCGACAAGGCGGGACTTCTCTGCGCCCTCCTTATCTCTCGACGTCTCTATCATTTTTACGTGCTATTTCCATGTTTCTCTGACCTCCCCGGTGAGGGAACAGAGAGACGCAGACACGCGAAAACCGTCTAGGGTAAAAATCAGGAACCTAGACTCTTTGAAGATTAGAGAGCGTTCAAAAATGAGAGAGCTGATGTTTTCTTTTTCTCTGAACGCTCTCTCGTCTACCAGCGCTCTCTAACTTTCGAAGATTCGAACAGCGAGAGAGTGTGTGAACCGTGGAGACGCAGATCTCTCTTTCTCGGGCCTCTCTTCAGATTCCACGCTCTTTCTCTTCGTTGTATTAACTTTTTTTGAACATTTTTTCCTTACTTTTTCACTTGAAGGTTCTTCCTCCTGGACATGTTAACCACGATTTTCTTCTTACCAATTTTCTACGTTCCCGCTTGGGCCGGCTATGGAGCTGGATTTTTCCAAACGATAGGCGTTTCTTCGAAAATTCAACTTATGTTCGCCTTCTTTGTCATGGCTCCAAGTAGGGCTTTCTTCTAAAAATTCTGAAAAAATTAATTTTTTTGAAAAACGCCACCTTGTAGACCCTCTCATTGTGCTTTCATAAATTTCATAAAAAAAGTTCTTATTTTTTTAAAAAAATTGTGAAAAAAAGTTGAAATCCCTGCCAGAAGGGCCTTTTTGCAGCAAAGTTGCTCTACGGACAAAAAAAGTGACTTTTTTTAAAAATTTATATCCCACATGAAGTTCATGGAAACCATAGTACCCACCAAATGTATTTTTCTAAGAAAAAAGGTTACGGTAAGCAACTTTCTGTACACCGATCCTTGGCAAGTTTTTCTCAAAAATGCAGACTTTTGTAAGATCTTAAGTAAATTATTTGAATTGGGATGAAAAAGTTCTACAAATTGTGATCATTTTTTTTATTTGAAAAAGCAGATTTTAATAATCAAGTTCATTTTCGGAAGATTTTTTTCAATTTTTCCCACAAAATTCAATTTTTTTGTCCGACCATATTCTTAAGGAAACCTTTGGAAACATTTTAGAAACATTTTTTTTTTCTCTAAAATGACTCTTTCAAGCCCCAAAATCTGTAATATTCCAGGTGTCGTGACTTCAATGATTTCCCTATTCGAACACAGACATTTCTGTGTAACCCCGGCGAATAGCTGGTTCAGCTTCAATACCACGACCCGTTGTATTTTTCTTGCCTTCAACTTTTTCGTCATATTTTCGATCTGCCTTTTCGTGTTCCTCAATTCTCCAGAAGATCAGGAAGCGGCCAAACTCGTCATCATAATGGTATCAAGGGTGATGGGAAGATTAAAGGAGCCCTAAACCTCAAAAATTCATGAAAAAAAGTGTTCAATTTTTTTAGATTTTAAAAGTTTTTTTCGATTTGGAAAAACAATTTTTTTGTTAAATTTTTTTGTTTTGAAAATTGAAATTCCTGAGTTTTTTTCAGCCTAATTTTATCACAATTTTATTTGAAGCCCTTAAAAAAAATTTTGAAGCCTTGCAAGTTTTTCCCCCACAGAGTTAGGCCTCAAAACGATGTTTAAAAAAGCTAGAAATTCAAAAATCAAGCAAAACTGTTGTACAACTCGAAAATAAAACGAAAATATGCCTTCAAAAATTTGACTTGGCCAAAGTGAAATGTTTATACAAAAAGTTACTTAACACTGTTAGTTTTTTGAAAAAGCTGAGAGTCCCATTTTTGAACTCAAGAAGAAATTTTGCACACGAAAAAGCTTGGAATTTGGAATTTGGAAAAAAGCGAAAACCCGAAAAATGACCATGCATTTTGTCCATAGAGCAACTTTACTGCAAATCGAACTTTTGGCGGAAATTTAATGCCGTGTTCAAAGTAATTTCCGCGAAATGCAAAATACCCGTTAGAGAAAGGAAAAGATCACTAAATTTTGGAGAGTCAGAGATCATTTTGCATTTCGCGGAAATTACTTTGAACACGGCACAAGCTCTTTTTTTCGCCTTTTAACTGTTTTTATTTTTGACCACGTTTGGACTTTGCCCAAGTATGCTTGTAACGTTTTTTCCAAGCTTTTTTGTGTATACACGCATCCCGACCCATTCCAAGTGCGTCCACAACCTTCAGGCTCTTGAGTGTGTTCCCGAGAAGATTTTCACCCCGGCCTGCATCATTTTGGACGTAACCAACCGTGCGATGTTAGCCGTCAACGGCTTGACGTTTTTCGTGGCCTCGGTCGGGATTTTTTTCTCGGCCCGACTTTCTTATTATCTCCTGAAACCTCAACCTCACATTTCTGCAAGAACGCGTGAACAACAGAAGATTTTCTTCTACACTCTGTGTTGTCAGGTTATTTTTTAAAATTTTAAAAAGCGGAAAGTAGAAGCTTTTCAAAATGTTTATAGCTCATTATTCACGTTGAAAAAGTGCTCCACGGCTAATAAAAAGAAAAATTAAGCTATCAGATTTTTTTTCAATTGAAACTTTGAAACTTTATTCAGTCTTCAGAGAAGGTACTCCGCTGAATCATGGAATAATTGAAGAGTTGTTCGTCGGTTTGCGAAACTGTCGTTGGTCAAACGTAGACGGCGCGTAGAGCATCTCGTCTTTCTTGTGATAGTAGTAGACGACTTTCGAGCGTTTCCGACGATCACTGCTTCTCCATGCAGGAAAGGGAATGTACGACATTTCACATAATGCCATTTCACATAATGACAATTTACATAATGCCATTTCACATAATGACATTTCACATAATACGACAATTCACATAATGACATTTCACATAACCCGACAGTTAACATAATACGACTCTTCACATAATGACGATTCACATAATGCGACTTTTTCACATAATAACGTTTCACATAAAGCGACTTTTTCACATAATGCTTTTTCATGCTTTTTGCCTAGAGGGTTCTCATAATTTTTTTCATGTATTTATTATCTATTATCAGACCTGTCATCGTACACTTTCAAAGTTGGATGAGCCATTGGAGAAACGCAAAAATGAGCCAAACACGAAAACAAAAACGAAAAATTGACGAAAAACTGAAACCTAAAACTAGTGACGACAACGCTGATCGAGAGAAAGACAAAGATTGAGTGGAAAATCTAGCAGCCTTTATATAGGGATATGGGCGGAGCGTCAGAAAACACTATAACAACAGAGAAGAACTCGTATACACTTCGCAAATATTGAGACGACTCCTTCACCCCTTAGGCGCGAAGAAAATGTGCGAGGACGATAAGAGCATGATGTGTGACCTGGGCAGAAGCCGGTATCAACGTCGTCAGTATCGAGACGTTTCCTTCAACCCTCAGGAGCGAAAAAAAATGTGCGATGACGAGGAGAGCACGATGTGTGACCTCTATATATTTACCAAGTCACTCATTTAGGTTTTTTGTAAATAATAACTTTTCAAGCAAAATTCATAAGCAAAAATGTATATATATCCATACTAAATATCGAAGAGTATTCAATTATAACTTTATAAAAAAAGACCGAAAAAAAATTTGCCCAACTGTAACGTCCCCATCGTTCAAGTAAATCAAGAATTATGTTAATCTTGTTGGCAAAAAAAAAGAGCATTATGTGAAACTTCATATTATGTGAAAAGTCACATTATGTGAAATTTCATTATGTGAAAAGTCGCATTATGTGTGATGCCATTATGTGAACTGTCATTATGGGAAATGTCATATTATGTGAAATGACATTATGTGAAATGTCGCATTATGGGAAATGGCATTATGTGAATTGTCATTATGTGAAATGGCATTATGTGAAATGTCGTATTCCCCAGGAAAGGTACGGCGCCCAGCTTGTCCAGGGCTGACGGGCGTCGGATTAAATCTCAGACGAGAGCGGAAAATTTTTTCAATTACAAGCTGAATATTTTAGCCCTTTTTTCATTTGAATATAAGTTGATATATGAATTTATAAGATTTTACAAGTTGAATTTTTAGCCATGGAGCGCATTAACTCAGCTAAAAAAGTCTTGAAAATTGCGAAAGCTTGCTCCAACGAAAAACGCAATTGGCTCTTTCAAGTTTCCAGTTATTTCAAACCAAAACAAGAAATTTGAAAAACGATACAATA